CCCCCCCCCACCTTTTTTCCTCCTTCCTATCTCTTCTAAACAGCCTATAGCCCTCTATGTCTACTGCCCAGTCAAAAGTTTCATCCCACCATGTCTCCAGTAGGCCATCCAGGTCAATTTTACTACTTGCAAGCAGGAGAGCAAGCTCCTCCTGCTTGTTCCCTATGCTTCTTGCATTAGTGAAGAGACACCTTAATCCCCACCCCCCGAGGGAGTCCTGGGCACCCCCCCTACCTGAGAGACAACTGGTCCCTTGGTATATGCCTGAGCTCTTACCTGAGCAGGTCCTACACCTGATTGAGTTTTTTCTTGCTCCTGTGGATCCCCATCCCCCGACGAACTTAGTTTAACGCCCACCGGAGGGGGGTTTTAAACTCATGAAATCATGAGTTTTATGATTACGGTTTCAACCTGCATACAGCAAGAAAAATGGCTGGATAACTCTTCCACTACAAGATGCTGGAAAAACTAGTAAGGAAACAAGGAGAAAAAAAAATCTGCTCTCAGTTCACAGCCAGTGCAGTGCAAATTCCCAAAGAGTCCCAGGGTAGAAACAGATGTTGCCTGATGTCTCAGTTGTGCAGCCATAAAAGATGTTTTTTACATTTTTTTTCCCCCAACATGAAAGGAAAAAAAAATCCATGGCATAACAAGAGATGGTAGTAGACTGCAGCTTTATTGTGGTGTATATCTATTACCCCTTTGGCAGAAGAGTGCAAGCAACCCTCAAGCCTAGGAGCACCTGCCTGCTTTCCCCACCTGGAGTAGCACCCAGGGAATCTCACGGTCCCCCTCTATAAGCAGGGAAATCAAGTTTCCCTACTCAGCCCGATACATTTTTCCCTCTTCCCTCCATCACAGAGGAGCAGGTCTGGTAGGGTGGGGAAAAGCACCCGCTTTCCCCACTCAGTCAGCTGCAATGATTGTGGAGTATGGATCCGAGTAGGGGGGAAAAAACCCCACTTTCCCCACTCAGTCAGACTTGTCCCCCAGTGATGGCAGCGGATGGTTCTGGCTGCCCAGGGAAAGTGCAGAGATCATATCACCCTTTGTCCCACAAAGGTGGCATGAGGGGCGATGTGTTTCACCCAATGAAGTGGAAAAGCTGTGCCACAACACAGCATGGCACAGCTGATCCACCTGATTCAGAGACATCTATTTCTGGCCCCAGTGTCAAAAGGTGGAGAGAAGGGTATGGAGTAGTTTAGCAATATCTTGATGCTAGTAGACTGTCTTAAGAGGAAAAATGAGGAGAACCAATAAAAAAGTTATTTCGAAAGACAAAGCCACCAGAACTAAGGTTGAATTATCAAGAATGAAAATGTTCATTAAACATACAGGCCCCATTCTTGTGTTAATTCCTTAAGTTTTATCCCCAACTTAAGTATACCGACATAGTTAAGTAGTAACACCCATCCACCCTCCTTAATGAAGATACATTTAGAATTAGTATAAAAAGGTGCTTACCCTTATACATAATTTATTCTAACTTAGTTACGTTGTTAAAATGTTAACTTTATACCTGGCCTATGACTGTTTTCCATGTCTCCTAATGTAAACTGATTCGGCCCTACTTCCTACATCACTGGTAGCTTCAAAATAGGTTTAGTGCACGTAAGACTCAACCCTATGTTCTTAAAACAAACAAACCAAATAAAATATTAGAACCAGGAAGTCATAAGTCAAATCTTAAAGATCGCACTTCAAAGTATTAAAATTTACTGTTCAAGTGCTATAGCTAGCATAGGGTTATCCCTCCTCCACTTTATTATAGATTTGTCACAAAGGAACAAAAAAAAAATAATCCTGAAGTTATCAGGGACAACAGGATTTTTCCAGTGGAGCAATGAAGGAAAAAGCAATTACACAGCTTTAGGAGGAAGGAAAGTCTTCAGAAATAGCATTAGATTCTTCCACTTGTCACTGACCAAAATAGACACATTTGAACAGGAGATAAACCACACCAGACATAGCTGTTAAGTCTTATCATGGGCAGAGGCTTGATACAGCATGCCTATCTGTCCAATACAAGCAGCAAGAGGGGGAGAGAAAGGAAGCTTCCTGCTCTCCCCAGTTTCCCCATGTCATCTAATAGCAACCTCTAGTGGTCAGACAGGGAGCTACTTTTCAGCTAGTTCTCTTTCCCTCATGTCTATGTGGTTCTCAACCTTTTTAGACTCAAGGTACTGCTCAGAAGATGCCAGCTCATAGTTCACACACATTTTCTTTTTGATTACAGAAAAATAATATTGCAAAGAACTCAGAAAGCAGCACCTTGAAAGGATCTGAAGGCACACCCTTGTTAAGAAGCACTGATCAAAAGGGAGAATCTACTATCTTTAGCTGCAATCAAGTGAAATAGGAGGGTCTTATCCTGTGCACTGCGATCTATGCTAGGAAAAGCCATACGGTAGTACAGGGGTTGCCAACCTGCAGTACCCATGCCACAAGTGACACAAGCACCCTGTGTGTGTGGCCCAAGGCAGACAGGGAAGGCAACACAGCTGCAGATTGGGGAGGAAAAGGGGATCAGAAGTGGCATTCAGGGAGGGTGCAGGGCTTACCTAGTGGCACGTCTGCCTAGAAGGGTGGCCCTCACTGCAGTAGTGCATTTACCTCTGCCATATGGACAACATTTTAGTAACAGTAGTTGTGCTAATAAAAAATGGTAAAGTAGCTGCAGTGTACACAGGAAGTCTTGTAAGTGCCCCTGGAAGAGACTACCTAATGTTTACAGCAGAGAAGTACAGAAGAGTAAGTGAGCAGGTGTGTTTGGAGGAAGGGGATGGGAAACGGGTTGGAAAATCCTAGTTGCAAAAGTTTGTGCTGGCAATACTTGCTCTCTGTGGTAGATCTCAACTCTAGCTAATAAATTTGGATAGTTAATAATTTTCTTAAATTGGAAAATACATATCGTAAAAAAGTTTCTACTTTTCATAGATTTCCTAGACATTAGGGCTAGAAGGGACCTTGCGGGATCAGAGAGTCCAGCCCCCTGCCCCAAGGTCAGGAAGTCACCTGGGGTCAAAGGATCCCAGCAACAGAAGTGTCCAAACACTTCTTAAAGGAGTCCAGGGTAGGTGCTTGCACCACCTCTGGAGGGAGCCTATTCCAGGCCTTGGGAGCTTGGACAGTAAATAAGTTTTTCCTTATTTCTAGCCTAAAAAGGTCTTGGAGGAATTTGTGACCGTTAGTCCTTGTCATCCCTTGGGCTGGTCTGGTGAACAGACCAGATCCCGGATCCTGATGCACCACCCCCACATTATATACTTATAGGCAGCCTCCAGGTCTCCCCTGAGCCTGCACTTTTCCAGGCTGAAGAGTCCCATAGCTCTCAGCCTCTCTTCGTAAGGCCTATTTTCCTGCCCTCTGATCGTAAGTGTGGCTCTCCTCTGCACTCTCTCAAGCTTCTCCACATCCTTCCTGAATTGTGTAGCCCAGAACTGGATGCAGTACTCCAGCTGCGGCCTCACCTAGGTCAAGTACAGCAGGAGGATGACATCCTGAGTTTTACTTGAGAAGCATTAATGGATGCAAGCCAGAGTCTGGTTTGCTTTACCAGCTGCGACACTGCACTGGTGGCTCATGTTTGTCTTGTGGTCAGTCATGACCCCCAAGTCCCTTTCGGTCTTAGTGCTAGCAAGTGTAGCATTGCTGAGCCTAAAAGCATGCTGCAGTGTTTCCACCCCCCCAAGGTGGAGTACCTTACATTTACTGGTATTGAAAGTCATCAGGTTTGTATCCGCCCACTTTTTCAACCTATCTAAGTCAGTCTGGATCGCCAGACTATCCTCCGGTGTGGACGCTCTACCCCAAAGTTTGGTGTCGTCGGCAAACTTGGCCAGTCCACTTCTGACACCTGTATCTATGTCACTGATAAAGACGTTGAAGAGAACAGGTCCAAGGACGGAGCCACTGGTCACGGAGCACCGTGATGATTTGCTTCTGTTGACCACCACTCTCTGAATCTGGCCTTTTGCTTTGGTTTAAAGTCAAACCTGTAAAACTCAGGCTATTTTAAAAGGTTGCTTTCCAACCAGAGTTAAAAAGATGCATGTAGATTCAAACAAGATTGATGGGATGACAATAATGCCTATAGTAATCTGCCCTTTACCTGTTCAAGTCCCACTTGTAGAATCTGTCACAAACCATTAGTAGAATAGCTTGCAATATTCAGGTGATCCCCCACCTCTTATTTTCAGTTGCCAATAGTGCTAGTGCTAGCTGACTACTTTCAAACATCCCAGCACCAATCATCATCATCATCTTGACCTTTCTACTGCATAGCTAACTGGATATGGCAACACAGAAAAAGAAAAAAGTTCATTTCACAATTCAAGAGGCTGGGTATTTGACCATAAAAGAAATTAAAAGGACTCCTGCTGAATTTTATAAACTATATTGTAGACAAAAAAATAAAAAATTCTGAACAAACATGAAAAAGTTATGTTTCAGTAATACAAAAATGTGGATCAAGGCCTTGACATTTCAACAAAACTGCATTAGGCACCAGCTCCATTCTATTGAAGAAGCACACATTGGGTTTATTACAAACATTATGAAATGGCTTGTAAGTGCAATGGTCCTAGCGTATATTCTTGTTCAAAAACAGCTCTTATTGTTAATTCAATAGAGCTCTACAAAAACGGACCAAACTCATATGGAACTCAAATCTTACAGCAAAATATGTAACTAAGTAGTCTTATTTGTTCCATTCAAAATGGCTTTATCTTCTTCATAAGCCAGAACTGTGTATTTTGGGTTCAGAAATGCTCTTACATTTGCTGTATGCACGACCACACAAACTCACACATTCCTTCTAGTCTTCTGACAAGCTGCATTAAGATGCTTTCCTAAAACCCTTTAGAATAGGATAGATGTTCTCAAATGCCTCATAGATTTCAGAACGTTCTTTGGCACCTATAAAATATTTGGACAAATGTAAATATTTTTAAGAATAAGATTTAGGATAGCACGCACAAGGCTGCATTCAGTTGCTATTAAGTGACATCCATTGAAATCCAATAAAAATCAGTATTAAGACACATCCAACAGCTTATAAAACCATTTTCTTGTGGGGTGGAGATGGAGGGGGAAAGTTTCTCAAGGCTTTTTTTTTTTTTTTTTTTT